CTTATAAGTTAATTGAAAATGAATACTTGATTAAAAATCAATCATCTCATAGGTATATATCGAATACCTAAATGAGCACTCCCTTGACAATAGATGAAGAGACTTTATCCTACGAGATGAGTTTGTGTTCTCCCAACAACGAATTGAGACAAACCCATATTACACTTCCAATAACGGATGGAGTGGTATCCCCTACCCATCAAAGTATGAACACTTTCCTCTCAATAGCGAATGTAGGAACCGTCCAGCCGTCATATTTGACAACCTGCTAATCCTCAAAGGGAATCGCCCTACCTTCCCTCGATAAGAAAATAACATATCTCATATTGGTCATGTTTATATCGAAATAAAATAACATATTAAAATATTTTTTTTAAATATTATTAATGTTAAATAATATCAATTAGCCCTCAAATGACTTAAACCATAATTTAATCAATCCAATTGAACTTGATTTAACTAGAACCTAGCGGAACCAATCTCTAATCCTCATTCAACTGGTATGAAACCACTATAAACTGGTACAATTTAAACTATATTATGTTCTATTTAGGTTAAATAAACTTTGAATAAGTTAAATCAATTCATAATTACCCCGAATCAATCTAGACTAATCAAATTTGATTTAGTTCAATCAATGTTCATGCTCAAATCCAATAATTGCATATTACTATACTCGGTTAGGTTAACCTATATATTGGTCGTGCATTGTACATGACTATGCATTCACCACACTAGGTTGAGTCGGCCCATATCCTAGTCATGTGTGTCACACATGATTACCCATGTTAAATTGGGCTAAGTTAGCCTACGAACTACGGCTTGACCAATGGGATGTGCTTGGTTTGTTGGCTGAGCCTCTTGGCTTATGAGCTATTTCAACTCAAATATTATCCAATCTCATTAATTTTAAATTATAACAACATATATTCGTTAATAATAATACATTAAAATATAAAAATAAATTAAAAAAATAAATTATAATAATATATTTAAAAATAATATAATATAATAAAAATAATATTTTTAATTTAAATATAAAAATTATGAATAATTTTAACATAATCTAATCAAATAATAAAATTTAAAATCTTAAAAGGGATTAAAGAATATCTTTAAAACTTCAGATAACATATTTTACTCTGATAAAATTTTTAATATTTAAAAATTAAAAAAATTATAAATAAATTTTTAATTTAAAAAATTAAAATAAAAATTTTATTTTTGAAGAAAGATAAGGAAATCTATCTCTCTTGGTGTGGAAGGCTTGAAGATGAGCTCTCTTTTTAAGGAAAATTCTTTTAATTTAATATTTATTTAATATTATATTTATTTAACATATTAACAAATATAATTTTATTTTATTTGGAATATTTATAATTAGTTCCTAAATTATAATGGTAAATAAGGAAAAAAAATTAATATTTTTAAATTATAATGACAAGTATGGAAAGAAAAATTAATTAGATTTGATTACAGACTCTCTGTCACCCGTGAAACAATCAAACCCCACACGGTTGCGTCCAGCGAGAGGGCTGAGCACGCCGACAAAACTGCACCGTATCGGTGTCCTTGATCTTATCCAATCTGAGTACTACGCGATATAAGACACTGGCGAATCCCGATACAGCGAAGCTCGCTGCAGCGATCGAGGAGGAGTCGGAGCGGGCATGGGCGGTGCCGCCGGTCGACCTCCTCTTACCGGCCTTTTGCCGCTGACACTGTTGCTGCTGCTGCCGGCATTGCCGATGGAGTCTGCCCACGAATCGCACCTGCGCAGGCGCCCCGTAATCTTCAACTTCGGCGACTCCAACTCCGACACTGGAGGCCTCGCCGCCGGCCTCGGCTTACTCCTCGCGCAGCAGGAGGGTCGCGCCTTCTTCCACCGCCCCTCCGGCCGCCTCTGCGACGGTCGCCTCGTCATCGATTTCCTGTGTGAGTGACCCCCACCTCCCTCTGCCGTCTTCCGCTACCTTTTCGGCTCAATCAACGAGCAAGGAGAATGAATCGAATCGGTGCGCGTTGCCAGGCGAGAGCTTGCACTCCATCTATCTGAGCCCGTACATGGAATCGCTGGGGTCGGACTTCAGGAACGGAGCCAACTTTGCGGTGATCGGCTCCTGTACGCGGCCACCCAATGTGCCCTTCTCCTTGGCCGTCCAAGTGCAGCAGTTCCTCCGTTTCAAGTTGCGATCTTTGGAGCTCGTTGCTCAAGGTTTCATCTTGTTCGTCAACCTGCGTTCGTGATCCAACTGTGTGACGATGCGTGTACTCATTAGCCATCGGTGAATGTCACAGGTGCAAAGGGCCTCACTGATGCAGAGGGATTCCAGAATGCGTTGTATGCTATCGACATAGGGCAGAACGATCTGGCAGCAGCCTTCTCTGCAAATTTAACCTATGCTAAGGTTATCCGCAAAATTCCATCCATCATCCATGAGATAAAGAAAGCTATCAAGGCAAGTCTTGGGTATCGCAAATCTTTGAAGCACTATAAATTTGATTCTTTGTGGTATGTGCTGCACTAGTTTCTCAACAACAATTCCTAAGATCGATTCGCATTTTAATTTTGGTTAGGATGCACTAATTTTCATAAAGGAATTGTTCATGTCCATGTCAAGTGCATTGACTTATGTTCACCTTTATCTTTGCCAGTTCCTGAACATAGATTTCAACAAAAATGTTTGGTTGATGCTACATTTCATGTCCATAGTCTGTTCTTGTGGATTTACTCATTTGGGTAATGACAGCTATGTTTCCTCATGTCCATTGAGACAGTGCAATCTTTATGTTCTTGAATGCAGAATTTGTATGATAATGGAGGAAAAAACTTTTGGGTACACAACACTGGCCCCTTAGGATGTTTACCTCAAAAGCTTGCTCTGCCACGCAAAAATGACAGCCGTCTTGATCCATATGGATGTCTGATTCCCTTCAACAATGCTGCCAAGGAATTCAATGCCCAATTGAGTGCACTTTGTGATGAACTGAATTCAAAGTTGAAGAATGCCACCATTGTTTATACCGATATCTATTCTATCAAATATGACCTCATTGCTAATTTCACCAAATACGGTAAGCGATGTATCGTCATAGTTCATATTTCTTTCAAAATTTCAACAGTATCAAATATGAGAATTGGAAGATAAGAGACGAATATTAAAGATGATAACATGAGAGGAAGTAAATTGGAATTTTTCTTGTAAATTCTAAAGCTTATCTATCTTTTGATGCACTTGATGGTATACAAGAACAGATGATCTTACCATGTTAATCTTGATATGACAGTATAAATTGCTCTTATTGACAAATTCTGCGACTTTGCATTGCCTCTCTTTTGCAGGCTTTGAGACTGCATTGATGGCATGTTGCGGCTATGGTGGACCTCCATACAACTTCAATCAGACAATGGAGTGTGGTTCTTTCGGCTCCCAAGTTTGCCCTCTTGGTTCCAAGTATATTAGTTGGGATGGAGTTCATTACACAGAGGCTGCCAATGCCATAGTGGCTTCCAAAATACTCACAACAAAGTATTCAAAACCCAATCTTGCCTTTGATTACTTCTGCACTGCTTGATTTTGTATGCTTTAGATTTACTTGTTAAGCTTGAGTGGATCGCTAGTAGTTCAAATTTATGTTGCCAGGAACAACAATTACTATAGCCTACGTTCCTCGAGGGAAAGAAACCAAATCAAAATAGATGACATTTCCTTGCATCTTTGCTGTCTAGAGAGTTGAGGTTGTAGTTCACTCTCATTGTTTATCGTCAAAAAGAACCATTTTTGGTTGCTCATCTGGCACAAAAACTGTATCTTTAATGAATGACATGCACTCACTATTGTTTCAAACATTACATGGTTCATCTTGAAAGGTATACTTAATGGTGCATTTCAAATCCTGTGCATCACAATTTTCCACTATTTAATTGTCTGTAAACAGTTAAGGATCACCTTTTTCTTCCCAACTGCACCATCAATTCCTGGGAGTACTAAATTATCATGCACCGCCTTATGAGGTTTGCTGCAGTTGTAACAAAAAGCTGGAAGAATAGGAAATCCACTCGATTTGTTCTTGGAGACACATGATGATGCACTGATCCTATCTATATAAGATAATACTGAATTTGTATTCTTCTGGTTTTATACTCTGTTTCTCTTGTATTTTTCTTGATAGTTCTTTGCTCTACGATTATCCTGTTGTGAACTCATGTTGTTCATTTGTTCCCTAAGTCTCCTTACAAATCACATCTTTAGAACCACGTACTAGTGTGATGAAATCATAAAAGAATGTAACTTATCGAACTCACGTTGCCAAAAGAACCAGACACCGAAATCTACTGCCAGAAGCCAATGAACAAAGGACAAAGTATCAGGTAAAAGAAAGGGATATGAAGTCTTACTGATTTCAAATTCCTTTGGAAAGCAAAAGTTGCTCCTCATTCTTCCTTCCAACATGTCCCTGAAGATGGAGTGAAACAGGAAAGATATGTCAAAGGTGTTGCTGCAGAACCAACGGCAAATGCATCTGTCGTGTATTTACCTCCTACTAGTAGTGTTTTATAGTCTCGTATATGCAAACAGGTTAAAAAGTTGTTATCCAAAAGAGTAGGTGCATTACGCAATCACTAACTGACGGCAAGAACTTTTGGATACAACAATAACAACACCAACAAGCCAGCAGTGCCCCAACCATTTGGGATCAACTATACATCTTTTACCATCATTCAGCAGATGCAAAATAATATTCTTCATCAAACAAAGTTATTTAGATCTGTCTTCTTTACTTAATAGTTTCTAGTAAAATCTTCATAGATCTTTAATCTCCTCACATCAATAACATTTGTGTAACATCACTTTAAGTATCCTTAGCACATATCTATATCATCTTGAGTAATTATTCCTCTTTCTATGGATACACCCAACTTGATGTTGTATGCACAAAGAAATGGGACTGAAAGTGCAATGAATGACAGACCAGGCATTGGAGTCTCAGATTATAAATTGATTCAAAGAAAAAGATTAAGATGTTCTTAAAGGTATATCTGATGTATGGGGGATCAAAAACATAGGGTCACAGGAATTACTTCAAATTTCCAGTGGCACCAACACTATTTGAAAAAATAACCCTCCCAAAAATCAGAGATACAAGGACTAAGCACCAAACGTGCTTTTACAGCAAACTAATTGAACAAGACAGCATGAGGCCAATAAGACAGCGCAGCTAGTTCAAAATTGGTCACTGATTTATTACATATATTATCAGGGAAATCATTTGGAACCAGCGAACTTATGACCTGTCATCTTTTCTGCCTCATAGAGCATGTGATTGATGAGGCCCCTAGCAGCGCTGCGAAGTTATTGTCATTCACAAAGTTAAGTGATGAATCAAAGTCCTGAACATAAAAGAGAAGAACAGCCAAAAGCTCGTGTAGCTAGCTTACTCATCCTTCAGCTTCTGTATTTTTTCAGGATCAGTTTCGTGCATGTGTTTCCTAAATTGCTGCCTCACCATTCCAACAACAAGCTTAGTGTTGTGTTGCTGCAAGAAAGCATCAGGTAATCTGAAACCCTCGATATAGCTAACTTCGGTACAACAACATCAAAAACTTCAAATAATCTGAGGATCAGCATATACACAAATTTACGGAAGGCCTTTCAAACGAAATGCACTAATAATTTGACACCCTGATAGTCCCATGATGGAAATGGGATTGGAAATAAGGCATGATTGTACATAGAGCTAGATCAGTCTAACTCATCCACTTGGCATAACATTTTCCGTCATGTGGTTTACACCTATCAAGTTGACAGGTCAATTACCATCAGATTGGATCATGATAGGTGATGTCTGTGCAATAATTTATATCAAAGCAAAACTCAATATTAGATATGATGATGGGTCAACTAGGAAAAGACTACTCATAACATAACATAGAGCCACAACAAGGTTGACCTCACATACTACAGTATGATTTTGAGCTATGTATTGGCATGCATCTTGATGAACATGACAAACCTTAAATTGGGAAGAAGTTGTGACATCTTGATAAATTCCACTTTGAATGTAGAAAAAGGGATTGTGTTGGCTAATAGGCTAGATAGATCTAAAATCATTTACTTGGATTAAGTATTTTGGGGCCTTGCAATTTTAAGCATATCAAGTTGACATCAGTTGTATTATGAAATCGGATTATGATGATTAGTATCAAACATACTTAATACTAGACAGTAGGACTTGCTTCTTGACTTCAGAGTATTTAGGATCTGGAAAGTGATGGATAAAACCAGGGTCTGCCGTATCGAACCGTACCACCCTGTACGGGCGGTACGTACCGGTCCGACAGGTTGTCGGTACGCGGACCGCCTGTTATCGGTCCGAGTGCAATGTAGTACTGTAGCAGTGCTACAGTATTTACCGCTCGGTATACCGTCCCGTACCGGTACCGAGCCCAGGTCGAAATATCGGTACAGTACGGTATTGCGAACCTTGGATAAAACCACCTAAAAGTACAGACGCTGCAAATCTAAAGTTGTGCAACACATATCAGAACACCTAATGGACATGCCAGATACATATCTCTCAATGCAGAGTGCAAAGCACTATAACCAAACATGAGATCATTAATGTGAAGCACCATAATAAAACCTATTATAGCAGGTCTCCTTGACTCGAAATACATAGTACCTGGGAAGTGGTGAAATAAACCGATCTAGGAAGAATAGATGTGACAAATCTAAAGCCATGACCATGTTGGACATATATCAGAACTCACAATGGCCATGCTAGATAACTGTCCTACAGCCTTGTGAACTAATAATACATATATGTATGCATATATAAGCACTCTATTCATGCTCTGTTAATGCTGTGTCATTTCCTAAACTCGATGTGTCCGCTGGGTTGCATCATGTTGTGTCCAAGTCCAAGCTTCCCATGAACCAACAACATAACTTTTCCTGTAAGTGTGGCCCAGGATGCTGTCATCCATAGTGACACTCCCTCTTACCATATCAAGATGCACTAAACTTACGCTAGCTAAGTGGAGATGTTAGTTGGCAATTTTCTATCTTAAGCGAATAAAAAGATCAATATCACTAGGCAGTACAAGTAGACCTTAATAACCGAAAAAGTTCAACATGCCATGGCACTTTGAAAATGGGTAGTCTTACCATATGACTCATCCAGCCACAAATTCTAACAGCGTTTCCACTTCCCGTGTCATCTTCATAATATCTTATCATTTAATCTCTCCATACTTCAGCAATATCCCAGAACTTCCTTAGATTTGTTTTCATGTATGTAGCCCAAATTAACTAAAGCACTGGAATATCAAAATTTTTGTATCTCAAGTTAAGAGATAATCAATTAAAATCGACGAAGAGGGCACTCTTCACGCCAAAAAATTATGCTACACTGCTTTCATTGTTTCGTTAAACCCAATAGAAAATAAACTAATAATTTTTTTAACAATCAAGAACACATTAGGCAACCACACAAGCATAAAATAGATAAATTGTTATAGGAGAGGTATATAGGTGATGCAGATGGGATTCAGGCATATCCAATAGCAGAAAATCCTGCCACTACAAGACCTGATGGGGTTCAATAAGTTATAAAATTATAGCATGCCATAAGCATCTGATCCGACAAGAAAGAATGGACGCAAGATTTACCTAGATGGGTGGATTAAGACAGACATCGGAACACAGAATCAAGCATATAAAACAGTAACAAAGTTCTTGGTCACAAAAACACTATAAGAGGGTTAACACACACCTGATGGCCAATATATTTCGCCCTCCGCAGGCATTCTCGATACAACTAAAATCAATCAGAAGAACAAATTTTAAGGAATCGAAGAATGTAGCGAACCGTGCAAACGAGAAGTACAGTAGTGTCATTACCCTGATCACGTTGTCAGCAAGCTCGGGAGGCAGTGCAGTCTGAATCGACGGCATCGCCTTTTCTCTGGAGCCTTGCAATCACACACTAAGAGAGATCAACAGACAGTCGGCTGAAATCAAACAGACTCCGAGCAAGAGGCGAGCGAAACCCTAATCTACGTAAATGACCCATTGTACAACTGAACCACTACGATTTGATCGTAAAACCCTAAATTTGATCTGCTTTGGCGAAAACAAGACGGGATTGACTTGCCTTGAATGGTTTGGTGCGCAGTCGGCCAGCAAGCGCGAAGCGGCGGCGAGCGAGCGAGCGACCGAGCGAGAGAGAGAGGCGAAGGCGGTTTTGATGTTGGTCGAGTTGGGCGGGTCTTACTTCATGGGTTATATGGGCTATATAGCCCATGATCTAAACCGTGCACGAACCAATAAAATATAAATATAAATGCTTGATTAAATATAATTCCCTGAGTATTTTCTGAAGATTATTCTGAGAATTAGACTCAAATGAACCAAAGGAGATAACAATATCGGTTCAAAAACAAAAGATGTCAGTTCATCTTAACAACACACACGTGATAAGTTCACCGCAATGCAGTTTTTACTGTATGTTGTCTCTTCCATTCTCGAACATTGTGTGGGCAACACGAGAGTCTCCACAGCATTGACTCATGGCCACATGGTCAACACATCTGAAGAGCATTCAATAATTGAATTTGACTGAGCTGTCATCACATCTCGATCGCTCATGGTAGCTCGAACAAGGCGTTCTCAGCAACCCAAGACCGGGTTCTCCTGCAGCGACTGTGGCTGCCCCTCCTGCAAGCAGGACATGGGAGGAATGGTGAGCGTTTGCATGATCCCGTACGCGTTCCAGCAGAATGGGTCGTCCACCAGCACCCCCTCGTAGGGCAGGAGCTCCACGTCGGACAAGGTGATGTTGGTGCAGGCGACGGCGTCGCTGCAGGCGAAGTGTATCGGCGGGCTCCGCACGTCGTACGTCCCCTTGATGTTGGCGTAGGCGACGTCGGTCACCCACACCGCAGACGTCTGGTTCAGGCACTGCTTCGTCAGGCAGTAGTACTGGTCGATGATGATGCAGTTCCTCACGTTCTCCATGTAGATGTTGTCGAAGCTGATGCCGGACACCGATCCCGTCCCCCCCTGCCATGTCTTGATCCGCACCCCATTGTCCGAGTTCCTAATCCTCGCGTTCCTCACCGTAATGTTCGACACGCATGCCTGGGAATTGTGCACGCCGAGGCTCCCGATGCTGCGGCACACCTGCGTTAGATTCAGCGATCACGAAATCATAAGCGTTACTCCGGTAGCAGAAAGCTTTGAACCTGATGCCATGGCTTGGCCCGCAAGTAACATTGGCTATGTCGACGTTGGAACAGCCCGGACCAATGGAGATGCAGTCGTCGCCTACGGGCATCATGAAACAGTAGGATTAGTGCTTCTGGAAGAGAAGGGGGCGGGGTTGGGACGGGGCGAGTGGAGTCGAGACCATTGCTTATCACGGAATTGTAGATGGCGACGGACTTGGTGTTCTCGATATGGATGCCGTCGGTGTTGGGACTCAGAGCAGGGGACCTGATGGAGAGGTCCTCGATGTGTACCCCTTCGCAGCCGTCGAACTTGACATGGAACTGAGGGCTGTTCTCGACGCGCAGGCCTCTCACGGTCAGATTGTAGCTCATGAAGAACCGGATTAACTGGAGAAAACAGGAGGACGATGAGATGAGACAAGCTGAATAGAAGAACATGTCTCAAGTTTCTGAATCGAGTGCTTACCGCAGGACTGTCGCAAGGTCCGGGCAATGTGCTTCCTTTGGGTCCCTGAAATGGAATTAGATCCACAGATTTAGCTCATTTCCTTTGAATACACTAAGATAGATTGTGGACGACGTACTCGGTGAGGTTTGCAGGGGAGATTCCACCATTCCTCGCCGTTCCCTTCGATGGTTCCTTCTCCCTTCAGAGTCATGCCGTCGACTCTATAGAAGACTAGCCACTGCTTCTTGCTGTCCGATGCCGGCCAGCAGTCGGGTCCGTCTGGGGGCATCAGCACTCCATCAATCTACACAGCAGAGCACTGCTATAAGAACCGATCCCATCTAAGAAGAAGAACGACAGAGGCCGAGGTGAGTTCCTCTGAGCTCACTTGGAGAACGAAGCCAGGCTTGCATGGGCCCGAGAAAATGGTGGAGGTGATCATGAACACACCATCCGATGGCACCAGGAGCACACTAGACTCCGCCGCACACGCGGCCTTCCATGCAGCCCGGAAGGCTTGGGTGTCGTCGCTGGATCCGTCCCCAAGTGCTCCGAACGATCTCACGTCGAAGACACATGGTTCTGAGCTCGAATTATCGCCGCCGTCGTTGCTACTGCCTGGTGGTTCGGCAGGGGCGGTCTCTGGTGGCACAGAGATCTGGTTCCCCCCATGGTCCTTGTGACTGTTCTTGTGCTTGTGGTAATGTGACCTTCCATCAGAGTTCGGAAGGCCTAGAAGAAGAACTGCGACTGTGATCGACATGGACAATGATAGATGACCAATTGCCATAGAGATGAAAGAAGGGGAGATGAGAGAGAAGGCTACTTTAGTTTGAGCTGAACGAGAGGAAGAAGAAGGGGAAGAGGATTGCAGTTGGCGTCCATTGATCGAATCAGTTAGAGGTGGAGTGTGTTACTTATGATGGGAGGTGCACATGAAGCGCCAAGGCTGCTTCACATAAGACACTGCCATGTGGTGTTCTCTTATTTATCATGGCATCATTGTCTGGTACTCTTTTACTTTCCTCACATGAATCTAAACACATTCTCTCTCTCTCTCTTTCTCTCTCTCTCTCTCTCTCTCTCTCTCTCTGTGATCCTTTGTTTGGCTTCCAACGAAGCAAACAAAAGCAAGGTCCGCAAGTGTTAGTAAAGGAGATGAGAACGATGCCTTAACATATAGGCAAAGGGTCCTGCTTGGTGGATCTATGAACTGTTCTGAACATTTGTGGAGAATGATGAGAAGATTCTAGAGCTTTGTAGCCCTTCTTCTCTTCTTCCTAGCAGCCACTGAACAGAAATTTTATGGAGCTGAGAGAGAAATCGTTGCAGGGATGAGAAGTTCAACACACACTTGAGAAGTAACAGTGGCTGCAGATCACCAATTCAAACCTAGTCAGAAGTACATCGTTCACTTGTCTCAAGGTTAGAGCTGTCATTTGAACAAACGGAACAAAAGAAAGGAAATCAAAGAAAGAAAGAAAGAAAGAACAAAGAAAAGAAGGATTCAAGGCAGAAAGGCCGGCGGTGGTGTAGGCAGAGAGCTCGTGACTTTGCCTTGTACTTTAGCTTTTTGTGGCTGAGAAAGAAGAGAGAGAGAGAGCCGTAGCAGGAGACAACAGAAGTTAGCATTCACGGGCTGCAGCATCTCAAGACTCCCCATGGAGGAGAGAGTGGTTGAAGCCTACTTAATAGCCTCCCCTAACGTGCCTCATCAAACAAAACACTCCTAACAAGTATACGTAAACCATGATCAGTCGCCTGACAAGGCCATTGCTCCTCCGTCCTTCCTTCTTCTTCTTCTGCTGTGTTACAACCGAGCTCGAATAGATGATCGATGTGCATCACTATCAACAGTTGCATTTCGAAGACGGTGGGTTGCAGACCATGTCGAGGAGCGTCACGGGCACTGCAGAGATCTGAATGATGCTGCAGCGTCTAATGCATGGTTGAAGGTTGCTCATCGGATCTAATGGGGGGATGCGTCGTCTCCTCCTGCTTCCTGTCTTTTGTGGCACTCGCGCTCCTCCCAATAAATTCTCGTCCATGATGCTTCACACAAGCTGATCTCACAGAGTGCCTTTTGGTTCACGAGATCAAGTGAAGGCACGTCATACATGGCCCCGAGATGACGGACAGGCAAAAGGACAGCAGAGGGGCGCAAGAACAGTGTGGTTGGGATGTGGAATCATGGATTGATTGATGTCGGCAATCCTACGTCTCAGATCATCAGAGATTCCATGACTCTTCTTTCCTAGTCCAGTCGGCACCGTTCTTGGCGATTCACACAAACTCCATTAAGTGATGTGAAGATCCAAAAGATAAGTTTATGACGGAAAGAACATCATGATTATTTAAGAAAAAAAAAAGACTTATGAACAACTATACTTCTTACAAATTCTTACTTTCAACCGCAAACTAATTATGTAATAATTAAATATCTTACTAGAGTACGATCAATCATAAATCAACATCTTCTTTCAAAGGCGTAAGATCATCTAAGGAACCCTCATGGCAACCTTGAGGGTTAGTTGACGCAATATCGATGTATCGAAGATGGTTTTCGAGGTTCTAATGTTGGGCCAAGGTGGATTTTGATTTCTTTGATGGGTTTCTGCATAGAGACTAGTGTCGAGGAGAGTTTCTCGACTCAACTTCTCTTATGCTTAAGTTAGCTCTTTTATAATTGTATAGAGTGTGAAGGATTTTTAAGAGAGCTCCGACCCTTGCGCAAACGTTAGAGGTTGACTTTTATACTTGGCCCACCGAGGGGGCCATATATAACCGTCATAACACTCTCCTTTTGACGTTTCGTCCACATGGGCAACAAGCCCTAATATCTTCCTACAGGTTGGCATCCACGGAGGCTGATCGAGAGGGAACAAGACTGAACGATCATCCGAGGACCACTATCTATGGACCGTGTACAATTGTCCATGAGGGTTAACATATTGTTATTGCCCATATATTATTGTGAGTGGGGGAGTGATTCGACTCTTATCCTCCACATCGGTACCTCGGTGGCAACAGTTAGCGAGCTAGTCTAGTTGACAGAATGTTTCCTATCACTGGAAAAAAAAAAATAGTGATACATCTATCCGGATGTGTCATTTAATATTCATAACAACTCGAATATATAAAAATAATTTTTTGAGTATAACGATCCGATCAAATCATCGGAACCCTTCGGTAAAAAGGCATAAGGCATCGGAACTGATTCGATATCAAACATTAAATTGCAAATGAGAAGTTAAAATATTAAAAATAATAATATTAGATTATATGTTTTCAAACATGTAATTACTCTTGCAACAATGGTTTCACTATGCCATGCCGAACAACCCGATCAAATTGGTCAAAGTGATCCACTAAATGGTCAGGATCTCTGCCCAATGTGGCCCGGCCTCGAACACTGAGAGTCACGTGGTGGATCTACATCACGTGCTCTCTTACTACCTGGAGATCTGCTCACTCTTAACGGTGGATGTAAGAGGAGTATCCAAATCCAACGGCTGTCAATGGCAACGCAGCACGAAAACGAGGCGCCCCAGGCGGGATACACTGTCTTCTCCCAAGACAGGATCCTCTCTAATTAACAAACAGCAAACGCTAATCTGACGGCCTCCGGGTGCTCTTGAAACTGTCTTTGACTACCACGCCTGTATTGGATACTTTTATTTTAAAGCATAATTGGAGAGGATCTAATACCTCACCATTCCCAACGGCCTCGGGCCCCCTAAGCAACGCACAGCAATAAAACGAGGGGCAAATCCAACGGCCCTTCTCCTATCTCAACACAACATTGACGGTGGATGCTTTAGCTCGCATAAGAGTCTGAATAGTAATTATGCGACCGCGATCAAGACCCGTCCTCTTTGACGAAGGAAGTTAGGTGGGCGTGTCTATCACCGTCCGTTGAGCTAACTACCACCTTCCTTCGAAGATAACGCCCACCTACCAACTTCAACGATCCCCACCGTCCGTTCACACCCATCATCGATACATATGGACGCTCCGGTTGGCGCGTTTGCTTCGGGGTCGAACTATCTCCTGTTGGATTGGAGGAGGTGGAGATGGCTAGGAAGAAGATCCGGGAGTACGATTCCAAGCGCCTCCTTAAGGAGCACCTCAAGCGGCTCGCCGGCACCGATCTCCAGATCCGCTCCGCGCAGGTGCCCTTTTATTCCAATCTCAATCGCCCACATTCGCTGGCTTTTCCAATCTCTCAATGTCCACGCCGTTAGAGTTTTCAGATAGTCCGTCTTCGCGTTTGTTTTGTCTTCGGCGATCGATTCGTGGGATTTCTTTGCAGCTGATGATGTTTGGATCGATATGATGGTTTGAGCTTATGTATTTCGATTTCTTTTGACGAGATTGTCATGTACCGCTGGAGATTACATTGGATTCCTTGGAGCAAATGTTGGTTATTCGTTACTTGTGACTGTGGAGTTAAAACAGGTGACAGAATCGACGGACTTCAATGAGTTAGTCAACAAAGAACCATGGATTTCGTCCACGAAATTGGTCGTGAAGCCCGACATGCTGTTTGGGAAGCGTGGGAAGAGCGGTCTGGTGGCTCTCAACTTGGATCTGGCTCAGGCCGCGCAGTTTGTGAAGGAACGTCTGGGAACGGAGGTGATCTATGGTTTTTCTTTTGTCATTGTTTAACGAGCCACTTCGTGAGGGGGTCTATAATGTATTCTCGTTGCTAAAAGGTTGAGATGGGAGGGTGCAAGGCTCCGATTACCACATTCATAATTGAGCCATTCATTCCCCATGATCAAGAGTACTACCTCTCGATCGTTTCCGAGAGGCTTGGTTGCACCATTAGCTTCTCCGAGTGTGGTGGCATTGAAATCGAGGAGAACTGGGACAAGGTTAAGACGGTTTACCTTCCCACGGAGAAGTCGATGGCATCCGAGGCATGTGCTCCGTTGATCGTAACCCTTCCCTTGGAGGTGAATTACACTGACTCGAAGAAGTAATCATTATTTTATCTGATTGGATTGATGAATTTGCAGCAAATGCCAACAGTCATCCAAATTTCAAACGCATGAGTTGTACGATCTTCGCCAATAGATATCACTTTAAGACAAATTCTGCTTGAAATTTGCACCACTGGCTAGCCATATGTTCAAGACATATACTTTAATATCCTTCTTGCACTAATTCTGTCAGGTTCGAGGGAAAATAGGGGACTTCATAAAGGGAGTTCTCACTGTGTTCCAAGGTATGCTAGGAGATTAGAGTAAATATGCCTGAAGATGTTCGCATGAAATTTCTATGTTCTTGTTCCAAAACTATCTGTAATACATGTCAATGAAGTGGATTGTGGTATATAATAAAATTTCCCTCTTGAGCAGTTATTCGAATAGATTTTTCTTTTTGTGATTTTGTTACCTTTGCATCTCTGTTAAGACATTTGATTGATTAGTGCTTTATTACACAATTAATAGGTATTAGGTTCGAGTTCATGTGTGAGCATCAAGTATGCTGTAATGGAAATATCTTTAAAAAAAAAAAAACTTTGTTACCTTTGCCAAAAGATATATAATTTTTGGTTCACCCCCTCTTATTGTTCTTGGCATCCTGATTTCTATAATTAATCAAGTTCTCTGCACTTCCTGCAGACTTGGATTTCAGTTTCATAGAAATGAACCCATTCACTTTGGTAAATGGTGAACCATACCCACTAGATATGCGAGGAGAACTGGATGACACAGCTGCTTTCAAAAACTTCAAGAAGTATGTTGTCAATGTTTGATTTCAAGGTTGCATTATGAAAGACTCTGACTTGTATGTGCACTTCTCTTTTTAATTTGCTGTTGAATTTGACACACAATGTAGGTGGGGTAGCATAGAATTTCCACTTCCCTTTGGTAGAGTCCTGAGCTCCACAGAAAAATTTGTTCATGAACTTGATGAAAAGGTAACAACATTGACCATACTGTTTTTATTTCTATTTAGTTGATCTGATAAATTTGTACAGGGTTAAGGGTAACAAAATAAAAAAGATCTCAAATACCCCTGTAATTGGAATATACTTGTACTCATGTTTGTCATATATAGGGCACACTTATCCCTGCTCCTTTTTGTTTTGGTCAAGATGTAGGGATAACTTCTCTCATTTAGTTAATAAAAATAGTAATGGCAAGACACTCTTGTCAAGCTATTTTTATTCAGTAATAAAAATAGTAATGTGATTTGACTTTAGTCATATTCTGCACGGTGCTATAATTTTCTTATCTACTGATAGCTTTTACCTTCTATCATATAATTGGAAGTTAAAAGCAATAACATTTTAGACCAAGAGGCAATGCTTTCAACTAAATCCAAGGTGTGAAAAACAACATTTTGGTAAACAATAGATTTTCATTTTGAGGTGTTCAGTTCATGTAGAAATTGATTTCTTCAAGAGACTTCCTTCTTTAAGATGTAAAATCTAGAACTTGAACACATTTCGACCGTTGTAGTTTTGCAATATCTATTTATTCATTTTTTACATGAAAAATATATTTCAGCATTTATATTTCTTCATCCAATTGCTTTATTGTTACTTTGAGATGCTTCTGCATGCGCATGCTGTTATCAATATCTCAAGCGGTCGTTACTCACTGAACCCTTCTAGCAGCGCCTTGGGCATTTTGGTGGTATCTAGCAATAATTATCAGAGAAAGCTAGCAGGGTCAGTGCAGCATGCCACATTTGTTCTCTATATTTGAAATCTTACTCTAATTTCTTTAGAAAGATTCCTCAAAATTTTTACTATACTAAACGTTGCATAGTATCATAGATCACCTTTTATTTTAACTTCTTTCTAAATCCACAAATCTGTTTGTTCTAACAAACAGTCAATTTTATATCTCAGGGTGCTAATTGTGTTGCTTCTTTGATCTGTCTTGAATATGATTATGATCTTAAGCTACATTGTTACAGACTAGTGCCTCCCTGAAGTTCACTGTTTTAAACCCCAAAGGACGCATATGGACAATGGTGGCTGGTGGTGGTGCTAGTGTCATTTATGCTGATACAGTTAGCTCTGTTTTATCCCTCAACATTTTGCAAAAAAAACATTATGCAGCACTTCAAAGTTCAAACATTATAAAACCTATATGGTATTTATGTAGCTGCTGGCTATGCTAGACTTATAGCTTCAAATTTAAATGATCTGTTTGTTAGGTTGGAGATTTAGGTTATGCATCTGAACTTGGAAACTACGCGGAATACAGTGGTGCTCCAAATGAGGAGGAGGTCCTTAAGTATGCTCGAGTCGTCCTTGATGTATGAATTGGATGATCTTTTATTTTTTCATTGTTCATCTACGTCTCTTCCTCATGTTCATGTCCATCATTGATATTGGAAATGGTTCTTTTCTTCTGTCAGTGTGCAACTGCAGATCCTGATGGTCGTAAGAGAGCTCTTCTCATTGGAGGGGGTATAGCAAACTTTACTGATGTTGCTGCCACATTCAATGGTATCATCAAGGCCCTGAAAGAGAAGGTCAGTTCACCGAATTAAGTTCAGTTTCTTATGTTCTGCTGCAACATGTAATCTGCTTCTTTCATATTTAACGACAGGAGTCAAAGCTAAAGGCTGCAAGGATGCACATTTATGTTAGAAGAGGTGGTCCAAACTATCAAACTGGCCTGGCCAAAATGAGGAAACTGGGTGAGGAACTTGGCATTCCTCTCGAGGTAACTCTAAATGATTTCACTTTTATCGGGTTGGACATTACATAAACTTTAGCCTGTTGCTTAGCCGAAGATGCTCGACTCTATTGCAGGTTTATGGGCCAGAGGCCACAATGACCGGAATTTGCAAGCAAGCTATCGATTGTGTCATGTCTGCTGCATGACTAACTCACGTTTTTGTTTTAAGCAATATCAAGCTCGACCATAATTGATTTCTTGTAGGTGCCGATTGTGTTGGTTCGAACATTTGATAAGTTAATGCGCATTTGAGAAAACATCAATTTTCTTATTGCTTTGATGTCCATGTCTGAAAGTGGAAGGCTCGTGAGATGCATCAAAACCATCGGTGGTAAGTTTGTGTGCAAGTGGAACCCTAAAAGTTTCAGGTGACAACTTTTGGTGTTTGGCTAACCGTTCCCGGAAGCTTTTGTATCCTCTGTTGTTACTGCTTTCATCGAGTATATAGCATTAGTCTATTTGGGATGAACAAAAGGAGATCGTAAAGCTTAGTGGAAGATCGTTGAGACTTGCTCATATTCTATTCTTGATGAGGTGGACACGAAACTTGATCACGGCACCTGGTTCTCGAACCTTTTCGATCTTTTTATCGTGGAGGAATTAGGCATTATTTGGTGCTGAATGTGACACAGGTTCCTGTCAGCCCAGACATGCTTTGGTTAAAGTTCCAACTACATTCCCCGACAACAGCTACTGAGCATGTGAATCTATCATTGCTGCAGGGGGAGAAAGAAATCTTCATCGATTTTGGAATCCAGCACGCGTTAAGGAAGGTAACAATTCACAAGGTACGGTAGAGTCTTTGTTGATTTTAAACCTTTTTTTTTTGTACCAATTAGATCTTGCCAAAATAGTTTAATAATATTTACCACGGTAGCGATATAATCCTGTTTTCTCTCTCTTTCATAATATTAATATTATCTTTTCACTCGAGTGTCAAAAGGATTTTATTTGGCAAAATGTCACCATAAGTCTTGTAAAAACCTCTTGATAACGATTTTTATAGTTTATAAATAATTTATTTACAGAATTCTAATTAATATGCAAAGACAAGTGCACCTGCATAGAAAATTAAGAGTGCTATGGTCACACGCACACACACACACATATTTTGTACGCACGCTGGATTCTCCCAGCTGTAATCCCCATTCCTTTAATCTATTTGATAAAACGCATGTTTCGTGCATGTTTCTTGGGATGGAAGTTGGAACTCCGAATCCCCCAGGACAGATACTGATGGCAACAAGCAACAGCTCAAACAAGAGCCTAAGCCACGTTGGAGCTCATGTGAGCACGTCGTCACTGAACCAATTACGTGGAAGTGCTTGCAGTGTCATCCAGCAACAACAGCAATGCACACGAACATAAACAATTCTTTCTTTGTAATCGGATGATGATGACGACTCAATAATTCACTCTTTGCAGTATTATATTCTAATGGCCTAAATATGGCTAATTTTTTACTCTGATGTTGAAGTGAGCAAGTCGTGGCATCCATCGAACCCACGATTCGGCATGTTTGATGGATGATTGCAGAATGCGTCTGTACATGGAAGCCACTAAACACCAGTTTATTTCATCTTTAGGTAATCGAATCTATCTGGTTCCCAAAGATTTCAGATAGAAAAATAGATACCCAATCGGATTCTAGTTTCATTCAAAAGATTCGCAATTCCTAATTAAGCTTATATTAATCGTAAATTAGGAAAGACTCGTACTTGATGAAATAATGTCATTAAATCTGATCAACTCGGGAGAGATTTCAACTTTCAAACCTTACTGCCTCGTCAGTTATTAAACTAATTTCTCTTTCTCTCTCTAATATCTTTGCATCGATTGCCAAATCGACACAAGTTGGTCATGGACTGGTTATTTAGTGGTGTGGGTGGCCACGTAGACAACTGCTAATTAGTGTTCTCATTAACAATGTACGATCAGCGTCGATAGCAATAAAATTTCCCACAAAGATCTTCTGCCACGTGTCAGGTGACGTCATCTCGTCCCGTCAAATGGACCGACTCGACCTACTCCTGTTTGACCGAGTCAATTTTCCCGGCTCAGACGTCGCTTCGGCGGCTCGGAGCTCGTGTCCTCTCAGCGAGTCGCGTCTCCGAGCCTGACTCACGCCTCTGGACACGACCCGTCCCGTTCTCAATTCTGGAGATCAAATAAATATCTACTTGGATGAGGACAAGAAGCAGGTCTCGGATGATCTGCACCTTCCCTGATTTCCGTCCACGTTAACGAGAAGAAAACGTGGTATTGACACCCGTCCACATCGGTGCAGCTCGAGGAGATAGCGAGCCAACCATGTGAGACAAGTCTACACCTAATGCGCACTACTATTACTGCAGAGTTGGGAAGCCAAACGGTCGAGCCGAGTTGGTAGTGAGCCGAGAGAAGGCACGGTGGGTGAGTGAAAACGCCGGTTGCAGCCGGTGACCCGAGCGCCCACCAGCACCGTCGGTGCCGTGGGCGGTCGCATCCGAGTCGGCACGATCGGATTCCCGAACGCGTTCCCGTCACGACATAGAAACGCGTTCCTGTGCCGGTTGCGTTCGGTCTCCGCGCCTATTAAAGGGGTTCGGGATTCTAGCCACTGGAAGGCGTGAAAAGGGTTTGCACCTCTTCGAACCAGCGAGAGGGCGGCGGAGATTAGGGTTCTTCGACCTCCTCTCTTCCTCCTCTCTCGCTTCGCTCTACGGTGAGCAATCTTTTCTTCCGTTTGATGTTTTTGATCCGCGTTCGTCTTGTGCGTTGCCTGCAACTTGTATTGGTACAAAGTATCCGTTCTTTTTCCCTGGTTACAGCTCTGTTTTGCTTGTTTCGAGAATGAATGATTCGAGCCGATCTCGATGGTCGGCGCCGTGTTGGAGTTGTTGATGCTTCTGTCGGCTTCGAATTGGCTAAACCCTTGAACGAAATTTATTGTTGGTTTCTGGTTTTGCTCGATCCATGGGTTTTAAGGTGGAAAAGGTGGTAGCTTGAACAAATCCAGTTCCCTTTTGTTGATCTTCTGTTACCTTACTTTGAGCTGGATGGAGTGACTATAGATCGTGAACTTTTGCAGCGTAGCTGAGGATCTGCTCGGCGTGTCAGATTTAATTCTCCTTAAAACACGTTTAATTCTCTCCATGTTTAGCTAGTAGATTGATTCAAGCTTGTATCCCTGGCGGTATGGCATAAGCGGTTCAACTAAAACCTGACTATAGATTCTTATTCATTGTCCTATATCTCTTTGGTGATTTAGAATCTCAAATCTGTCCTTCTTCTAGTTAGAAGGTGTAAACGCGTGTAGATGCTCCCTTAAGTCGAGTCATTTTCATTTTCACGTAGCAGAAGATCCAAAGTGTTACTAGTTTTGCTGTTGGTTCTATTAGAAAATTCTGGTTCCTCCCTGATGAGATGTTCTAAGGCAGACTTCCTTTTGTATATTTTTAATCTCTGTACTCAGTTCTTTGCCAATTTTTATATGTGTCTGTACCTTCCAAGATTATAATTCCATGCTTCTGGTCTCAGACATTGTTCCACCTGGTGAACAGTAGGTGGTATGTTTAGTTTGTTTGTTCTTGTGGTTCTCGTGCATCGTTAAGGTTTACAATCCATATCTTTCTATGACATGTATGCAACAGTATCTATACAATGCCTATATCTCGACATAGCTTCATTGCTGTTCTGGTATATTAGCTTGATGTCTCTTGTATTTGTTCAGATTCAGCTCTAACTAAGATGGAGGACACCTTCCTTTTCACCTCTGAATCTGTCAATGAGGGTCACCCTGACAAGCTCTGTGACCAGATCTCAGACGCGGTGCTTGATGCCTGCCTCGAGCAGGACCCCGACAGCAAGGTTGCGTGCGAGACCTGCACCAAGACCAACATGGTCATGGTCTTTGGTGAGATCACCACCAAGGGCAATATTGATTATGAGAAAATTGTCCGTGACACTTGCCGTGATATCGGGTTCACATCCGAGGATGTAGGCCTTGATGCCGACCACTGCAAGGTGCTTGTGAACATCGAGCAGCAGTCCCCTGACATTGCTCAGGGTGTTCATGGCCACTTCACAAAGCGCCCTGAGGAGATTGGTGCTGGCGACCAGGGACACATGTTTGGCTACGCGACCGATGAGACTCCCGAGTTGATGCCCCTCAGCCATGTCCTTGCTACGAAGCTTGGTGCTCGCCTCACCGAGGTTCGCAAGAATGGAACTTGTCCCTGGTTGAGGCCCGATGGCAAGACCCAGGTTACTGTTGAGTACCGAAACGACCATGGTGCCATGATTCCTGTCCGCGTGCACACCGTCCTGATCTCCACCCAACATGATGAGACCGTGACTAACGACGAGATTGCCGCTGACTTGAAGGAGCATGTTATCAAGCCTGTTATTCCGGAGCAGTACTTGGATGAAAAGACCATCTTCCATCTGAACCCCTCTGGTCGTTTTGTTATCGGTGGACCTCATGGTGATGCTGGCCTCACCGGTCGCAAGATCATTATCGACACCTACGGTGGCTGGGGAGCACACGGAGGTGGTGCCTTTTCGGGCAAAGATCCTACGAAGGTCGACCGAAGCGGTGCCTACGTCGCCAGGCAGGCAGCTAAGAGCATTGTGGCCAGTAAGCTTGCTCGTCGCTGCATCGTCCAGGTTTCCTATGCCATCGGGGTGCCCGAGCCGCTGTCCGTGTTTGTTGACACTTACGGAACAGGCAAGATCCCCGATAAAGAGATTTTGAAGATTGTAAAGGAGAATTTTGACTTCAGGCCTGGGCTGATCACCATTAACCTTGGCCTAAAGAGGGGTGGGTACAGGTATCTCAAGACAGCAGCTTATGGACATTTCGGCAGGGACGACCCAGACTTCACCTGGGAGGTAGTCAAGCCCCTCGAGTGGGAGAAGCCAGCTGCTTAGATTGGTCATGGTGGCACCGAAAGCTGCTGTTGCTCTTGTAGCCGTTGCTTGTTTGGTTGGTTATGTTGTGTTTCTTCGTTGTAATGGTATCAAAGTCGTCTACATGGGTTTGATCAAAGAAGAAAAGAAGGAAACTCGCATATCTTTCTCACCAACTATTATGGTCAATAGTATAAATGCTTTATACTCTTGTCTATGAAAGAACATTATTTCCTACCCTCTGCTTGTAAAAATAAATGTGGCACTTAGAAAAGAGTTACACATGAAATATATTTTTTGTGCCTCGAAACATGTTCGTTTAAGCTTTGCAATGAATGAATCATCCTCCTTGCAATTGTCAGATTCTTCTGCTGCAAGGGCGATGTGGTGCGGGAAGACTGCAAGAACTCTCGAGGCACTTGTCATTGCTATCGATTAGAGCCCTGCAAAGAAACTTACTTACCTGCCTCTAATGCCTCATCATCGACTATACAATTCCCGCCCCCTGCATTGTGAAAGAAAACAAGAAGCAGAAGAAGGCAGACAACAGTACAGAGGTGGTAAGATGGGAAGAGAGGAACAGCAAGGGAGGGGAAGAGAGCCAGGGAAGAGGCAGTGCATGGAAAGGGCAGAAACACGACGACTCTGTTTCTGACCCCATCCCATGCTCTACCTCGTCCCCGTCTTGCGCCCGCCTCCCTCCCTCCCTGCATCCATTTGCGCTCACCTTGTGGTTGCCATTGCTCCGGCTGTGGAACCGACATGAGCTTTGCCGCTTCCAGGGATGGATATTTATGAGGCGCTCACAGGCTGTGGACTTGTACTGCCGTTTCTTCGTGGATTTGATGGTACCACTGCTTTCAAGTACCAAACCCGTGGCTGCAACGCGTCAGTACAAGGAGCTCAACCTGTACTGCAGCCGTCTCTTTTGTACTATTTCGTTGAATTTGATCAAGCAGCTTCCGATTCATCAACGAATAATCTTGTGATATGATACTATTAATTAATTGCTCAACTTTCATGGGCTGGCTTAGGTAGAGAAGGGTATGTCCTCAGATTGGGCTCCAATGATGTTAACTGGGCTGGGTAGGAAAGGGATCAGGTGGGAATCGGGGGCACGACAAGTGATCTGTGCTCTCTCCGGCTTCATCGGATGATGCCAAGGCCCTCGGCAGCAGCCTTTCTCTCTCCCTCTCTCTCTCGCTTCACGGACGCCAATTCCGTCGGCTAACTCAGGTACCAGTTAGTTTCCCGTGAACTGTTTGCAGAGGAAAGAACCGAGGAGATCAGAAGAGGAACGTACACTCTATCTTATTGCTGCATAAACTGTACGAGTGATGTAGGCAATGCAGGCTCTTTATTGGCATCACAAGAGGCTTGTCAATCTGCCATCACATTCTCGCTGCCTCTTCATTCATCGGTGAAAAAGAAAGAAAAAATATATTTAGTTTGATGAGCATCTCTTCTTTTATTCAAGGATGTAAAGGATATTGGATGGTCCGAATGCCATCGAAGGTAAGAAATGATTGCAAAGAGCTTTCATTTTGCATGTGGAAAGCCATGTCATCATCTACAAAGGGACAAATTTCCCGTGGGGATGCAGTGAGACCGCAAGAAAATTAAGGAGATTGCAGTAGACCCAAGACCCCACATCAAGATTTTGCAGACACTCCTGCTTGATTACCTGCACAACAGATGCTTGAGGGATTGCTACAGACAAAACTGGTGTCTTCTGTCCACTGGCAGGGATCAAGTGGGCATTCAATTTGGTCTGCGTTGCTGTCTGGTGATCTGCATCTTCTCCACTTGTTGTGTTTCTCAGTACATATGGGTGCACTTGGAAGGGATTGTTGCTGGATTTTGTGATCACTGGGCTTGTTTTGTTGCATGCAGTTCTTGTTCTAGTTAAGCAGTCGGAGAAAGAACATGTGATAGGGGCGCAGATGACGTCAAATTACATGTGAATATTATCGATGGTTCCTTATTAAGGGCTAAGCATGTGAATGACCGGTACTGCCATATAAAACTTGAATCCATGTGAAATTCCTTGGTTTACAATACAATGGTTACATTCTTATAGAGTTGAGTAGCTGACAAAATTCTGTGGGCGGCCATCAAATAAAAATATTAGTGGAGTCGGAAGAACTTAATGATTCTGGTGGAAGATCAAATCAAATGGTTATGAGATGGGTTAAGTAAATTAAGAAGTAAGTGGAGTAAACTTAATGGTTGTGGCCTTATAATTCTTGCTATTCCATTTAGCAGGGATGAAGACAGTTGTTGGGGTAGTATAGCCAAAGTTATTTATCCTGGAAAATGAATTGGACATGTATCAGAGACACATGACAAGTATTTCAGGTGGATGCTGCAGTTGTTTGCAACCACACCAAAATATAGGTAAAAAGAGTTAACTTGTGTTAAAGAGATGGACAAAGGGTTAAATTAGACTTGTCTCATGGTAGTTAGCTCAATTTTGTCTCAATATGGATATGTCTTAAGCTGAGGAGGTGTGTGTAATGTTTTATTCTCATTGATCTTTTTCTTAGATGGTGGCAGGATTATTTGTTTGTTCTTCCATTATATTCCTAAGGAATGCAAGAGATTACCCATTGGCTTTGTCGGGGCATCATGAGGAAGGAATTAAAGGAAGTTTCCATAGTCCAGATCAACTGCGTGCAATTATGAAAGTAAATAGTCCAAAAAGACTGTTCCAATTGTCCTTTTTCTATTCTTAATTCATGAATGGGAATCCAAAGACTATATCTTTTCTATGTTTCTGCTGGTGGGAATTTTTATCAAATTTTTATCAATGAATATAGTCTTTACAGCATGCAGTCATTTTTTTAACTGACTGTGTCATCATCCCTGATTCCTTAGCCTACATATTTAGTATGAGCTATGCACTTGTCATTATACCCATTCTTTAAAACACTTCCTCATGTTATCAAATTTGTAGTTTGTGGTGTCTTTTTCCTTTCCTCAATAAGCTTACCTTCTCACTTCAGGGCCAATATCACTTGATCTCAGCTGCTTTGAAGCTATTAGTTGTTAGTTCCGTGGCTTGTGCTGCATCCAAAAGCAACTGCTGCACCTCAACTATTAGTCAACTGTTGAGCCACTGACCAATTTCATATCTTTCATCGTCCTCCATGCTTACCTGCTCCTTCATCTTCTGCTCTATGGTGAGAATGATCTGGTGAACTCTCTTGCCTAACAATCACAGCCTTGAAGCAGCCCTTGCACCAGAGAGAATCATGAAGCAGGAGCTTTCCACTGCTAATCACAAGGTCTCCTCGCCAGTGTCATCTGCAGGTCGAGCCAGAGTTTCCAGAATGAAGGATAGTCCGAGAGCAGTTACAGCTAATGGAGCCTCACCGGGCTCGAGGCCAAGGCCAAGCAGCACCAATGTAGCTAGAAAGTCTATCCAATTCAACAAGCTAAGGCCGGTCGTCAATAATGTGAGAATTCCAAAAGAAAGGAGTCACGAGGATGCCAAGGTTGCTGGTCTTCATGGAAGCCAGGTTGTTGAGCAGCATGCTCGGTTGCAGCGGAGGTTGGAATCGAATTTTAAGGGGCCTGAGGATGGAGCCAGTACAAGGATCAAAGAGTTGCAGGGTAGACTTGATGAGAGTGAGAGAACGGTGAGGGACTTGCAATCTGAGGTGTTGGCACTGAAAACTCAGATAGAGAAGCTGCAAGTCCTCAATGTTGAATTGGAGTCACAGAAAAAAAAACTAGAGAAAGATCTCTCTGGTGCTGAATAAAAAATTAAAGCTTTAGAGAAGCATGACCAGGTATGTGTATGGTCATATCTTCACACACTCGAATTTGGCACTGTGGTTGCTCGAAGAAAACACACTAAGTCATATAATTCTCTTATTTCCTTAGCTTGGTTGGGACTACAGCTGTTCTATCTAAATCTATTTACGTTGGTAGAAGAGGCCATTACAGAATGATATTTGTTAATGTTGGGTTTAACATGTTAATCTTTTTTGATACACTTTAAAGTTGATCAGGTTGTGAAGGCTGATGGAGAAAAGTTTGAAACTATGTTACTATGAACAATTACTTTATCTTTATACTCATTTCAAGTTTAGTTGTAATGGATGAAATCTAACATGTTCCTCAATGTGAAATAATTGCAGGTGGAATCAGTCAGAAAGTCTGGATTTATAGATGTATTGGAGGTTGTTCCTCAAAAGTCAGAAAATACTGCAGAAATGGAGGTTGGAAGACATGATAATTGCAAAAACCAGTCTTCAGTACTGAATCCTATCACCAGAGCTGTAGAAGTCCAGTTGGAAGTTTTGGTCGAGAACCATTTTCCAGCTTTGGCAGCTCCCCTATCCCCTATTGCTAGGGCACCGCCGCCACCACCACCACCACCACCACCTCATAATGCACGAGGAAGAGTGACAGTGCATAAGGCTTCTGCACTGGCTGAATTGTATCATTCATTGACCAAGCAAGATGGAAAGCAAGGATCCATGAACAATGGCAGTTGTGCCAGTCCTCAATCTAACAAGGCACATCTTAGCATTGTTGGGGAACTTCAAAATCGATCGGCTCACCTATTAGCGGTAACTGTCTTTTTTTTTGTGGAAATTTCCAGAGAAAAATTGGTAACAACTGTTTGTCATGACATTTTAACATTAAAGTATTTATTCTTTTCATGCCTGCCTAATGTCTTCCATAGATCAAAGCAGATGTGGAAACAAAAGGGCACCTCATCAAACATCTTATAAAGAAGGTGCGATCAGTGTCTTTCGCAAGTATGGAAGAAGTCTTGACTTTTGTTGATTGGCTTGATGGAGAGCTCTCCACCTTGGTAAGGCTTGTGTACAAGTTGATGGTTGTTACAGTGAGAATGAAGGATAAATTTCTGCATAGTCTATGACATCATTGGAGTTGCAAATACATTGCTAAGAACTTTTTTGATTTTATCTGAATATATGAAGAAGACTCCTCTGTTGATTTTTTTTACACTCTTCTGGTAGGGATTGAGCTTGCTTTAAGGAAAGTTTGATGTTTCAACAATGAACCTAGGACTTCATTGTCCATTGGTACTGTTGGCTTATGAGCAACATTGCGAAACTATAGAGAGTTCTACTTGAAGTATGAGAAAAACAACTTATTGACCTTCATCTTAATTTGAAGAATTTCTTGAGCACTTCATGGATTTTTAAGGTTGAAACGGTCTTTTATAAACCGACCTTGACTCTAACTGTGTACTGTGTCATGAAAAAACAAATTCTTTTTCTAGTGAACAAGAAAAGCTGACATCACTCAGCAACATTTTAATGCCTTCATGTGGTGATTATCTTCCTGAAATCCAATTGATTCATTGATCATAGCGGTTAGTTTGGCAAGATTATTATGAATGTAGGAAAAAGCTCATTGACTCGAAACTCTATGCAAATATAGTTAACACCTATACTGACATCAATGAGGTCGATAACTATTTCAAATATGTTGGATATATTTTGTTGTTCTCGCAAACATTTGTTTGGGCACTTTCTATCAAACTGGATAGGCATTTACGTTTGCAGCATGGCAGCATAATATTTTGTATCCTTTGACTTATTTGCAATGTGACTAATTGAAGATTAATCTTAACATTTTATGTTATGATTTGTCACTGTTTACTATTTCTTAGAGTCTTGGATATTTTGTTGCTGCATCTTGTGTATGCTTATGTGATTTCACTTTTATATGCTGAGCAGGCTGATGAGAGAGCTGTTCTGAAGCATTTTGACTGGCCTGAAAAGAAAGCTGATGCCCTGCGCGAGGCTGCCTTTGAATTCCGTGATCTGAAACGGTTGGAAGCTGAAGTCTCTTCTTTCAAGGATGATGTCTGCCTACCATGTGAGGCCACCCTAAAAAAAATTTCAAACTTACTAGATAAGTGAGTATCATCTGATGATCCATTCTCTTCTGACTACTCAGCTATCCTATATTTAGTTATCTATCAAATATATATTTAGTTCTCTACTCAGCTATCCTTATATCCATTTTAATGATG